AGTATCACGCTCCCAAGTTTGGCGCCTCGCCGTTGAGCATACATTCGTCGGAAGCAAGTCTAATTAGCAATTTGACGTGATTAGTGTGCTATTAGTGTTGGCGTTTCAATGCTTGGTTTTCTTGTTGATCACATCTAAATTGGTTGTAAAGGAAGTCCTTATGACCCGTTTATTTATCTTGGTTAAGGGCACGGGTCGGGATTAGGCGATCAAAGAATCCTCGCTGTCAATACCATGACTGGGTCTGCAACCATAGAGGTGCCGCGTTCGTGACTTGAAACCGCGCGGCTATAACAACCCTGGCCTAGCATTTAGGACGACGTGAGCTATGACCGCCCACCGCCGGAAGTGGTACGTGGCTGGTATAACCCGTATCAGCTGCTTTCACAGAGCCAACAATGGTTGGCATGTTTGAAAACTCGTTCGGACACGCCTTAATCCTAAGCCAGCCTCTGTTGAGGAGAGAGTTTTCATTTTCGGTCTTGTTGAAGGCTTCTCCCGATTTTTTTTCACTGGCGTTCCATTTCGCATCTCTGCTCTCACTTTGAAGTGCAAAATTACCTCAACTCAACCCCCACCAGAGTCAACCCTGCGTTGCGCAGTTCGCAACGGCACGTTGAGAGATCCTCAACGCACGCTGTATGGGCGGAGACACAGACGGCTCGAGCATGCGAGTGTGAATGTTCGCGCGAGAGAACGTGTCTAATCGGGCGAAACTGCGCAACGTGGCCGTTGAGAACTGCGCAACGTAGGGTTGACTCTGACCCCCACCCGTGCCTTTGATGGTAAGTTATATTTTTGAGGTGCTGATAAAGCTAGTAACATTGTCCACATACTGTAAACGTAAATGATTTTCATCCTCTATAAGGGCATCGTACTGAACATTTCCTATTTCGTTAGTAGACCTGTGATTGATCAGCCACTGACTTTTATTAATCCCAAACGTCTCATTTTATGTATTCTAGGTAATTCATAAGAAGAATGGTGTAACAATGGCTCGCAAACTGGTGCATTTGGAGGTGAAACCTTCAGTACGACAACAAATCGTGAAAGGTGTGTTAAATACTCATTTTATCTCGTTCATGGGGTTGAATGTCAGGTAACTTTGTGGGAATGGAAGAATTGTGGCAGTGACGGCTCAGTAAGTATGCTTCTTGCAAATAGTGTATTTTCCATTTTGAAATTCTATCAAAATAGTACATTTGGTAACCGCTGAACTAGCTTTACACGCTTCCACTTCTTCGAGCAAATAGGTATATACATATCTGCTTTATTTTGCAGAACTGGCCGTTTTGCACAAGTGTAATAGCCCATATATTGTTGGTTTTTATGGAGCTTTCATCGACAATAACAACAGTGATATATCGATTTGCATGGAGTATATGGATGGACTTTCTCTTGACATTGTAATGAAAAAGGTTTGTTTCTTCGCAGTATCGTAATCCCATTACATTACACGGCGCCACGCATTTGCTTGTAGGTTGGCCGAATTGCCGAAAAGTTCGTCGGTAAAATTTCCGTGGCTGTAGTGCGAGGACTGGCTTATTTGAAGGATGAGATAAAAATACTCCATAGAGGTGAGTGTTTTTTTCTTTTCAATTTTGTTTGAAAATAAGTCCATAAGAAGCTGTGTAGTGCAGAATCACACGTTTCGATTTCGGGTCCCACTAAATTCTGATAGGTGAATACACTTTTCTTATATGGAAGCTGATTCCTGAATTTTTCGAGTTTGTACTTATTGGGAAGGTCTGAATTGCTGTTTTTGATACTTCTCTTTCAACAGTTCCTTAACGGAATTCCATTCTCTTCGTTTCGATCTTTCTGAGGTGTTGTTATTCTAGATGTGAAACCATCGAATATGCTAGTCAATAGCAACGGCGAAATTAAGCTTTGTGACTTTGGAGTGTCTGGAATGTTAATCGATAGTATGGCCAATTCTTTTGTTGGAACGAGATCCTACATGGCGGTACGACTGCTTTATTATTGAGCTCTTTGAAGTATCCTCGAGTCCCTTCTACTTTTTCTCAGAGTTTGGCTTCTGACGCTAGCCCTCTCTTTGCGTATTTTTTCTGTTTGGTTTTCTCCTTCCAATTCACCCACAGTTCTTACCGCATAGTTCTTCCACCCATTAATTTTGCCCATTTGTTCTCGGATCCTAAATTCCCCTTCTTTACTCAAATCACTCACCACTATTTCTTTTGTACCTTAGCGGAATATATATTGCAGCCAGAACGACTAACCGGGTCGCATTACTCCATCCAATCTGATATTTGGTCGTTTGGTCTGTCTCTGGT